AATGATTTTTTGGCATAACAGAATAATCGATAAGTTTGACCCATACAATGTATTGTTGGCTATTCCTACAAATATACCCCAGCGACTTAACACTGCTTTTGTGCTGCAGGGACACATGTGTAAGACAAGTTCATACAAGATGTAGTTGCAGTTCATGCATCTTTTCTACAAAGATATTTAACAAGTGATTAGTTAAAAATGTACATCATGTTGACAACTTCATGTGTGCTGCACTCGGAATAGTTTTCTAGAGGGTTACTTGTTACTTGAATCATGTTGTAGTTACATTTTCAAGTTGACTAGTTAAAAATCGTAAAAAAAATCGGGAATCAGTCAAACGTTCTGAAAAAATGTAATTTAAATTTTTCATTTAATTTGCCATATCACCCAGCCCTACACAGAAGAAACGCCATCACAACCCAGCAGCTTGGCAGTTAAAAATGTACATCATGTTGACAACTTCATGTGTGCTGCACTCGGAATAGTTTTCTAGAGGGTTACTTGTTACTTGAATCATGTTGTAGTTACATTTTCAAGTTGACTAGTTAAAAATCGTAAAAAAAAATCGGGAATCAGTCAAACGTTCTGAAAAAATGTAATTTAAATTTTTCATTTAATTTGGCATATCACCCAGCCTTACACAGAAGAAACGCCATCACAACCCAGCAGCTTGGCAGGGTTTGTTTTTATCAATGCGGAAATGCAATTTCATTTTATAAATGTCTTTCTGCCAAGACAATAGTGCAAGCATGCATTATGAAAGAAGCCATGTTGATTTCAAGCCTGCAAACGGCAAATGAAATAAGAAATGCACTTGCACTCACATCCACCCTGAAGTCCTCCAGACGCTTGAACTTGCTTAAATGCTCCTGCAGCTTGGGGTCAATCTCCATGTTCTTTGTTTTAGAGTATTTCAGAAAGGCCCAAAACTTCTCGAGTCCGTACAGCTGGCCTGTCAGGGTACATGAAGCACAATTAAACAAGAGCTCCGATAACTAGACGTCATTATTTCAGTAGGGGTGGGAATCTTTCGGTACCTCATGATTCAATTCATATCGATTCTTGGGTCACGATTCGATTATAAATCGATTAATGGTTTTTCAATTTTAAATCACGATTTCATCAAATATTTTGTGCAAAGCTTTGTTCATAACAGAAATATTGGGTTAGCAGGCAAATGTAACATCGCGACATCGTTCGATACATTTAAAGCCATACACGGCTTTGTGTTCTGTTATGCCGGTTGGTCACAAAATTCCACGACTTTAATAATATTTATGGTTTCTCTTCCCAAATAATTCTAATTTTTTATTGTCGTTCACTTTTAATCGCGGTTTTCTCGTCTCTTACTGTGATCAACATCCAGAGGGAAATGAAAGATTTCGTGGCCGTGAATTAAGAATTAGTTCCTATGACTTATTTCGTTCCCTCATTTTAGTTAAATCATGGGGTTTCTAGGGAACAAATGAATGAAACATGGACAGTGGCCACAAATTAATAAGTTGTAGGAATCAATTATATACAGGCTATATATATATATATATATATCTGTCCTGCTCATGTCCACAGCTCTGTCAAAGCGCAGAGCCCAATATGAAACCCTAAATCTGGGGAAATTATAATTAAACATGATTTAGTTACTACATTTCAATACAAAATAACTTTGTGTTGTTTCTGTTTTAATGTACTTTTAAAGTTTGGATCACATTAGAAGCGTAATTTTTGCCAAAGATCCAGCCCCATCGCGTCACTCACAGCCGCTCGCTTCTAATTTTTTTTTGCTTAATCGACCATCAATAGCTTTAATTGATTGCATCTCTTATCGACAATTAATCGATCGTCGATTAATCGTTGACATCCCTAGTTTCCAATTAACTTCCTAATAAAACAAATATTTTACACTTCCCATTAGGAAGGGAAAGGGAATAAATACGAGATGGGAGGAAAAAATATATTTCAATGGTTTCTCTCACAATTATATCATTGGGTAATTATACTGTATATAAACTGTGGGCATCAGGGAGCCGTTATTAATATGTGGGGATTGAAATCGTTTTGAATGCATGCTCGCTTTTTACTTTCCCTTTCGAGATTCGCGATCACACATACTCTATACTACGAAGCGACAGTACTTACCACACATTTAAGAAGATTAGGTGTTTGTCAGCGGTGCTCAGGATCTGCAAATCATTCGCCGGCGTCCTCAGTCATCTCTCTTTACTGTTTATGCGTCAAGTCAACTTTATATACTGTAATGTAACAGGCTACCGCTAGCAAGCGGCTAACTATGTCTCTTTAGTGGCTCCGTAGAACGCACTGTTCGTTTTTGAATATAGATTCACTATTCAGACACGTCCCTACTTCCCATAAAAGATCAAGAATTAATATCATATTTTTCCAAACACTTGCCCTCACTGAAAATGGGTCAGGATGTGTTTGTTTTTCCTCCTCCATTGCTGATGCTCTTTTGTTCCGACAACATCATGTTGTTATTATTATTATTATTATTATTATATTAACTACAAAATAGATTTTTTTTAAATTTGTGAATCAAAGCGAATCACTAGAAGACTGAATCGATTTTTTCCCCACCCCTATATTTCAGAGACAGACCTGCTTCGTAGTCTTTAATGGTCTCCTCTTGAAAATCTTTAAATATGTCCGGCCTGAACTTCCTCTCAAGTCCATAGCTGTAAAACCTGAAGAGACACTCCAGACCGTACCTGAGGAACACGAGACAGCCCATCAGTTCATAACACTCAATCTCTGCTGTCCATAACTTATTAAAAACAAAAGAGCCATGCATATTACTAATCAAAAATTAAGTTTTGATATATTTACGGTAGGAAAGTTACAAAATATCTTCATGGAACATGATCTTTACTTAATATCCTAATGATTTTTGGCATAAAATAAAAATGTATAATTTTGACCCATACAATGTATTGTTGGCTATTGCTACAAATATACCCCAGCGACTTAAGACTGCTTTTGTGCTGCAGGGACACGTGTAAGACAAGTTCATACAAGATGTAGTTGCAGTTCATGCATCTTTTCTACAAAGATATTTAACAAGTGATTAGTTAAAAATGTACATCATGTTGACAACTTCATGTGTGCTGCACTCGGAATAGTTTTCTAGAGGGTTACTTGTTACTTGAATCATGTTGTAGTTACATTTTCAAGTTGACTAGTTAAAAATCGTAAAAAAAATCGGGAATCAGTCAAACGTTCTGAAAAAATGTAATTTAAATTTTTCATTTAATTTGCCATATCACCCAGCCCTACACAGAAGAAACGCCATCACAACCCAGCAGCTTGGCAGGGTTTGTTTTTATCAATGCGGAAATGCAATTTCATTTTATAAATGTCTTTCTGCCAAGACAATAGTGCAAGCATGCATTATGAAAGAAGCCATGTTGATTTCAAGCCTGCAAACGGCAAATGAAATAAGAAATGCACTTGCACTCACATCCACCCTGAAGTCCTCCAGACGCTTGAACTTGCTTAAATGCTCCTGCAGCTTGGGGTCAATCTCCATGTTCTTTGTTTTAGAGTATTTCAGAAAGGCCCAAAACTTCTCGAGTCCGTACAGCTGGCCTGTCAGGGTACATGAAGCACAATTAAACAAGAGCTCCGATAACTAGACGTCATTATTTCAGTAGGGGTGAGAATCTTTCGGTACCTCATGATTCAATTCATATCGATTCTTGGGTCACGATTCGATTATAAATCGATTAATGGTTTTTCAATTTTAAATCACGATTTCATCAAATATTTTGTGCAAAGCTTTGTTCATAACAGAAATATTGGGTTAGCAGGCAAATGTAACATCGCGACATCGTTCGATACATTTAAAGCCATACACGGCTTTGTGTTCTGTTATGCCGGTTGGTCACAAAATTCCACGACTTTAATAATATTTATGGTTTCTCTTCCCAAATAATTCTAATTTTTTATTGTCGTTCACTTTTAATCGCGGTTTTCTCGTCTCTTACTGTGATCAACATCCAGAGGGAAATGAAAGATTTCGTGGCCGTGAATTAAGAATTAGTTCCTATGACTTATTTCGTTCCCTCATTTTAGTTAAATCATGGGGTTTCTAGGGAACAAATGAATGAAACATGGACAGTGGCCACAAATTAATAAGTTGTAGGAATCAATTATATACAGGCTATATATATATATATATATATCTGTCCTGCTCATGTCCACAGCTCTGTCAAAGCGCAGAGCCCAATATGAAACCCTAAATCTGGGGAAATTATAATTAAACATGATTTAGTTACTACATTTCAATACAAAATAACTTTGTGTTGTTTCTGTTTTAATGTACTTTTAAAGTTTGGATCACATTAGAAGCGTAATTTTTGCCAAAGATCCAGCCCCATCGCGTCACTCACAGCCGCTCGCTTCTAATTTTTTTTTGCTTAATCGACCATCAATAGCTTTAATTTATTGCATCTCTTATCGACAATTAATCGATCGTCGATTAATCGTTGACATCCCTAGTTTCCAATTAACTTCCTAATAAAACAAATATTTTACACTTCCCATTAGGAAGGGAAAGGGAATAAATACGAGATGGGAGGAAAAAATATATTTCAATGGTTTCTCTCACAATTATATCATTGGGTAATTATACTGTATATAAACTGTGGGCATCAGGGAGCCGTTATTAATATGTGGGGATTGAAATCGTTTTGAATGCATGCTCGCTTTTTACTTTCCCTTTCGAGATTCGCGATCACACATACTCTATACTACGAAGCGACAGTACTTACCACACATTTAAGAAGATTAGGTGTTTGTCAGCGGTGCTCAGGATCTGCAAATCATTCGCCGGCGTCCTCAGTCATCTCTCTTTACTGTTTATGCGTCAAGTCAACTTTATATACTGTAATGTAACAGGCTACCGCTAGCAAGCGGCTAACTATGTCTCTTTAGTGGCTCCGTAGAACGCACTGTTCGTTTTTGAATATAGATTCACTATTCAGACACGTCCCTACTTCCCATAAAAGATCAAGAATTAATATCATATTTTTCCAAACACTTGCCCTCACTGAAAATGGGTCAGGATGTGTTTGTTTTTCCTCCTCCATTGCTGATGCTCTTTTGTTCCGACAACATCATGTTGTTATTATTATTATTATTATTATTATATTAACTACAAAATAGATTTTTTTTAAATTTGTGAATCAAAGCGAATCACTAGAAGACTGAATCGATTTTTTCCCCACCCCTATATTTCAGAGACAGACCTGCTTCGTAGTCTTTAATGGTCTCCTCTTGAAAATCTTTAAATATGTCCGGCCTGAACTTCCTCTCAAGTCCATAGCTGTAAAACCTGAAGAGACACTCCAGACCGTACCTGAGGAACACGAGACAGCCCATCAGTTCATAACACTCAATCTCTGCTGTCCATAACTTATTAAAAACAAAAGACCACATTAATAATGCAATTCATGCCGACTATGACTGTCAAAAATGGTGGTAGGCAGAATTAAAAAAATAAAAATTCCAGCTTTTGATTATAAAAACAAAAATCAACACAGTGTTTGACTACAGCACAAAGTTGTGATTAAAATAGTTTTCCATGAACTGCTCCTTGTAAACAGAAGTGTCGATTTCAATGGAAATTCAACTGCAACATGATCTTAAAAATCTTAAAATGTGACACGTGCTGGCAAAATGAGTGTGAAAAAAAGTAGATTTTGGTCGAATTTCTCGTTTTCACAAAAAGGAGTTCATTAAGCCCTCGTCTAGCGATCCCAATGCTCCAAATAGTAATTAAACACATAAAATTATCTTTATTAGTACGTTTTCTGAGAGGAGTACCTTTTTCTCGGCTAGCTTCTTACTGATATACGAATCGATCACAAAGACGCTTCCAACAGCGCACGATCCCGATAAATATACCTGTATACACAGAATTAAGTAGGCTATTCACGCAAACACGATCTGTTGTCTTAAGAGAACGTTTGGGGAACTGCTGGGAAAACATCTGATGTGTCGCATTATATTAGATCCATTACAGTAGGACTTACTATAACGGCCGTCAATCAAACAATAAAAGAAACGTTTGCTGGTCTCGATTGAACTGCTTTTGTAGTTTTAATAATCAATTTATTTGTAATGAACACACTGATTTTTACATTTGAATTTGTTTTTCTTAATTGAATGGTTTTGTATAGATGTCAAATGAAAAAAGTAATGCACTAGGCCTATTTGTTTCATATTTATACTTATTCTACTGTTGTTGTTTTTTTTGCATCTGTTCTTATTTTTAATAACAAAGATAAAATAAAAAATGGCTATATTGTGATTATTAATAAAGTAATTAATATTAAGATAAGAAGTGGAGGAAACGATGCAATGTTGCAGGTGATTTTGCTTTGTAACCTTCAGAAAACTTTAACTCGATTTTTCTCAGAAGTTACTTTGCTGACTTCGTCAACTTCAAACGTTTATAGCGCAGTCATTTTTCATCCGATTCCAACGAATCATACATCATTTTAAAGGTATTTTAACGGAGAATGTGAAAATTAAAATAGCTCATTTTTGAAAATTTGCTCATTGGGACTCATTCTGCCAGCACAGGTCACATATGTGAGCCTGCAGCACAAAAGCAGTGTTAAGTCGCTGGGGTAGTAAAAAACGCATACATTTCTGTCACAATATTCTATCACAAAATAACCACCAAATATGGAATCTTGAGACTCACAGACCTTTCTACCTACAGTACGTGTTTTGTCAAGATTAGAAAAAGTTTTGATTATAAAATATTGTATTTAATTTTGTAATATGACACTTGGTACCGCCCACTAGGGGGGAGGGGCCTGATTAAAGGATTTAACGCAACATCCGATTTCAAAACTATTTTCACGGGATGATTTTTGAGCGTTTAGGCTTTCAAATGATATGTCATTTAGGATGGTTACCAAAATATGTAATAGGGAAAAAAAAAATAATAATAATAAAATATATATAAAATAAAAAAAAATAAATAAAAAAAAAAGTGCACCGAACCAGTTAACAGGTTAAATATTGGATAAATTAAATGTATGACTTCAGCAATTTTGACTGAATTTGTTTCTCAAATTTTTGATCTAGGAGTTAAATACTTGAAATTAGTTTAGTAATTACCCATCGCTGCGGTGCCTTCAGACGGACTCGCATTCGAGCTGCAGAGGAAAGACAACATCCGTGATCAGCACTGAAGGGAAAAAACACAATTGTAGGAGTCGGCTATCCATCTATAATTGTTTTTATTCTTCTTCTTTTATTATACCATCACTGCAGAATAAACACAGATGTGAAAATGCACGAAATCTGAACTTAAACGTATGTAGTTCATGAACGCTTTGGAATACAGATCTAAGGTCGGTCCCTTTTTAAAGAGGACAATTGGCAGATTATTGCTCAATTTTGCTGAAAATGTACTTTACCCATTTTTTTATATAAAAATATTTTACAAAATAGTTTGGAATCTAAAATTGCTTTATATTCAAAGCCATACTGTATGTTTAACTAAGCTATGTTCCTATGTAATTTGAAGTTGATATCTCAAAAACTGAGGTTCCTGTGAGATTAAGCGTTACACCAAAAACAGCCACCTGGTCACACAAAGACTCCAATTAATTTTTTTAATGTATTTCCTTGTAAAAAACGCATACATTTCTGTCACAATATTCTATCACAAAATAACCACCAAATATGGAATCTTGAGACTCACAGACCTTTCTACCTACAGTATGTGTTTTGTCAAGATTAGAAAAAGTTTTGATTATAAAATATTGTATTTAATTTTGTAATATGACACTTGGTACCGCCCACTAGGGGGGAGGGGCCTGATTAAAGGATTTAACGCAACATCCGATTTCAAAACTATTTTCACGGGATGATTTTTGAGCGTTTAGGCTTTCAAATGATATGTCATTTAGGATGGTTACCAAAATATGTAATAGGGAAAAAAAAAATAATAATAATAAAATATATATAAAATAAAAAAAAATAAATAAAAAAAAAAGTGCACCGAACCAGTTAACAGGTTAAATATTGGATAAATTAAATGTATGACTTCAGCAATTTTGACTGAATTTGTTTCTCAAATTTTTGATCTAGGAGTTAAATACTTGAAATTAGTTTAGCATCACATACATTTCTTATCCATTTTTAATGGATGAGATGAAACTGATTCAATAGTCCGTTTGTGCTATTCTGAAGACTTTATTATTCTCAGATGAAGTCTCTATCTATAATTGTTTTTATTCTTCTTCTTTTATTATACCATCACTGCAGAATAAACACAGATGTGAAAATGCACGAAATCTGAACTTAAACGTATGTAGTTCATGAACGCTTTGGAATACAGATCTAAGGTCGGTCCCTTTTTAAAGAGGACAATTGGCAGATTATTGCTCAATTTTGCTGAAAATGTACTTTACCCATTTTTTTATATAAAAATATTTTACAAAATAGTTTGGAATCTAAAATTGCTTTATATTCAAAGCCATACTGTATGTTTAACTAAGCTATGTTCCTAATTTGAAGTTGATATCTCAAAAACTGAGGTTCCTGTGAGATTAAGCGTTACACCAAAAACAGCCACCTGGTCACACAAAGACTCCAATTAATTTTTTTAATGTATTTCCTTGTAAAAAACGCATACATTTCTGTCACAATATTCTATCACAAAATAACCACCAAATATGGAATCTTGAGACTCACAGACCTTTCTACCTACAGTACGTGTTTTGTCAAGATTAGAAAAAGTTTTGATTATAAAATATTGTATTTAATTTTGTAATATGACACTTGGTACCGCCCACTAGGGGGGAGGGGCCTGATTAAAGGATTTAACGCAACATCCGATTTCAAAACTATTTTCACGGGATGATTTTTGAGCGTTTAGGCTTTCAAATGATATGTCATTTAGGATGGTTACCAAAATATGTAATAGGGAAAAAAAAAATAATAATAATAAAATATATATAAAATAAAAAAAAATAAATAAAAAAAAAAGTGCACCGAACCAGTTAACAGGTTAAATATTGGATAAATTAAATGTATGACTTCAGCAATTTTGACTGAATTTGTTTCTCAAATTTTTGATCTAGGAGTTAAATACTTGAAATTAGTTTAGCATCACATACATTTCTTATCCATTTTTAATGGATGAGATGAAACCGATTCAATAGTCCGTTTGTGCTATTCTGAAGACTTTATTATTCTCAGATGAAGTCTCTTATCAGGTGAATGGACATGAGGTCCGTGTGTTTGCTGACCTGACGGAGGCGGTGCGTGAGCGGTGCTCTCTGGAGTCCATCACCCAGCCCACGTGACACTCCATGGGCGGATTGGAACTGTGCCGCGTCTTTCGCTTGCGAGGCGTCTGAAAGAAAAGGTCAATAACTGATAGGGCTGCGACGATAAATCGATGCATGATCGATTCATGGATAAATTCTGAGATTTTCCGAATGCATTGATTATGAGCTTAGACTTTAACAGCAGATGGCGCTCTACTCTAGTTTTTAACCGCACACTCAAATGCTCATGAAGAAGAGCGCTTGTGCGTTCGGCTGAGTCTGTAATTTCACCTCGGCTCAGAATGCTTTTATGATGCCAGATTAATATAAACACAGCCCACTGTGAACACCCTTTTAACTCGCTTTAAACTTTTCGAAGTTTATGAATGATTATTTTAGGTTCAAGTGTGTGTAAGGATATGGAAACGAGCAAAGTACGGCGGTTTCTAAAGCATGCAGCGCCATCTGCTGTTCAAAACTATAAGCTCAGAATCGACTCGAGAAAGATTCGCCATGCATTCGGAAAATCTCAGAATCTCGATTCGCGATGCGATGCTTTATTTCCCCAGCCCTAATAACTGACAGGACCGCACTGTTTGCAGCCTGTAAGAGCGGATACGTACTTTGGCGTCCAGCGGCCGTCCATCCTTCACCACGGGGTAGAAGCGGGGTGTCTGCGTGGGGTCCCTGAGCCGCGGGGTGCGGGGCGTGCGAGGCGTGCGGTAGCTGGGAGAGTCAGGCACGGCCGTCGGAAGAGAGCGGGCGATAGCTGACGGCTCAGGCGCTCCGAACAGTTTGTTGGCCAAGGCTTCTGTGGGGACTACGAGAGAGAAAACATTCACGTCTTTAAACCTTCAGAACAAATCAAGTGAGACAGCATGGTTTTGATGATTGTAACACCGTGTCCTAACCACACACGAAGCTGCGACACGCGATAAAAGGTATCTTTTTCCATGTTAATCAAAGTTCTTGTCCTAAATGAGACCCTGGAGCACAAAACCAGTCATAAGGGTAAATTTCTTGAAATTGAGAATAAATAAGCTTTCCATTGATGTATGGTTTGTTAGGATAGGACAATATTTGTGAAAACCTGGAATCTGAGGGTGCAAAAAAATCAAAATACTGAGAAAATCGCCTTTAAAGTTGTCCATATGACGTTCTTAGCAATGCATATTACTAATCAAAAATTAAGTTTTGATATATTTACGGTAGGAAATTTACAAAATATCTTCAAGGAACATGATCTTTACTTAATATCCTAATGATTTTTGGCATAAAAGAGAAATGTATAATTTTGACCCATACAATGTATTGTTGGCTATTGCTACAAATATACCCCAGCGACCTAAGACTGCTTTTGTGCTCCAGGGTCACAAATAGCTGCGACACACAAAATTTCTATTTTAAAAATGGTTTCTATTTCTGCGACGTCACGGCTGGAACAACAACATACAAACTATATGACAGTGATAGTCTAATGCGAGTTTAAATATAATTTTGTGTGACCTTATAGTCATGATACTGAAAGCAACAATAGAGTTTACCTCAAATCATGAAAATAAATTAAAGCAAATATACACATTAAAACTGTGAACACACACAAAGTTCTTTTCCAAGTGCAGCACATGTGAAGTTCTTAACATGCTGTAAATGCAAACAAAATCACTTGTTAAATATCTTTGCAGAAAAGATGCATGAAATATGAAGGCAAATATTGTATCCTATGTGTTCATAAATAATGCAAAATAAGAAAAATGCAAATGTTTCCTAACCAATGTCAGTTTTAAAAAAACTTCATATGGCCGTTTTTGCGAAATTGACGCGTTTCCATTAGGCGTATTTTCAATTCGCAATTTCAATTTGCGCAATTTGAAGGGTAATGGAAACGCGCCTACTGTCAGTGTAACAGCAGCAGCAGCGATTATTAACAGTAAATGAAACAGCAGCAGCGTTCAGTCTGTCAGCATCATGCAAACATCAAATATCAAGACATACAGTAGCAGTTCTGCACAAGTTTTTGTCTAAAAACGCGGTGCTCAAGTCAAAGAAGTTCAGCTTGTGTCTCATAAGCTTGCGTTTTTCTCACATTTATCATTCTGTGTGAATATCAGCGCTCCATCATTTATTCAAAACATCTCTTCCTTCAATAAGAAAAACAATAAAATCCTGTTGAAGTGTTAAAATGGCCCAGGCCGAGTGTAAGTGTGTTTGTGGGTCAGACTCACTCTGCTGGGGTCGGGGGGGTCCGGGAGGAACCTCCTGGTTGGGGTCGACGGGAGGTTCAGGGGTCAGACAGTCGAACTGCTCTCGGCTGATCAGGTGCACCTTCCTGAAGTTCTCCACTTCTTGCTGTTGTTACAATATACGGAGATGCAAACAGGTGAAGGGGAAAAAAGGTGAGAACATTGCGCGGATCGGGGGCATGCTCCACACGGGATTTCTTTTGACGATTTTTGCTTTACATGCTCATTGGTAGTTATATTAAGGTATTTTTTTTTATATTTGTTCATTACATTATATGTCCAAAATATTTTTTTTTACAAAAAGAATAAAACAAAATCTTGTTGCAACATTTGACAAAAATCAAGATTCCCATGTTCTAAAAGATGAAGTGCTATGTCTATTTAAGACAATATTGGCTGATTAGACAGCAATGCTGAACTAAAATGCAAAAATGTTTGCCCTCTCTCTCTTCACTGTTCCCACATCTCAGACCCTAATACATAAAACAGACATAGCTTTTGAAGTAAAGTTTTGAAGACTACAATACAAACTGAATTAAAAAAAAGTTATGACTAGTCTTAAAGAAATTAGATTACTAACACCCCCCCTTTCTCATTGGATCCAAGCAAATCTCATAGGTGATCTATTTTGATCTCAAAAAAGTTAGTTGTCACTGAAAGGTGAGGAGTTTGCATCTATGAATAAGGCAGAGTTACAAGATTTCCAAGCACTTGTCATTAAGAACCTCATACACATGCAGCAGGACAATATAAGAAGCAAAACCAATATTAAAGCTCTAATGGCACAACATAATTTCAAAGCTCTAATCGATACACATCTTGCTCGTACCTGTGAGCCGGAGCGAGCCATGACCCCCAGAGCTGTTGCTCAAACAGCGGATAACTGAAGCTAACGCTATCTGGCTTTTCTAGCACAGCTGGCCTTACCGCACACGGCACGTGAATGGCACAAAGAGCGCGACACAAAAGACCACAACAAACGCTCTGGTGCAAGACCTTTCTGTGCCGCCCGTCCAGAAACACGGCGCTAAAGAACACGCTCTCAGCGGCCGCGAGGAGAACAGAAGAGTGCGAGAATGGACACACACCCAGAATCTGACAGAATAAAACTCAAAGTGAGTTGTCACTGAAAAGTGAGGAGTTTGCATCTATGAATAAGGCAGAGTTACAAGATTTCCAAGCACTTGTCATTAAGAACCTCATACACATGCAGCAGGACAATATAAGAAGCAAAACCAATATTAAAGCTCTAATGGCACAACATAATTTCAAAGCTCTAATCGATACACATCTTGCTCGTACCTGTGAGCCGGAGCGAGCCATGACCCCCAGAGCTGTTGCTCAAACAGCGGATAACTGAAGCTAACGCTATCTGGCTTTTCTAGCACCGCTGGCCTTACCGCACACGGCACGTGAATGGCACAAAGAGCGCGACACAAAAGACCACAACAAACGCTCTGGTGCAAGACCTTTCTGTGCCGCCCGTCCAGAAACATGGCGCTAAAGAACAGGCCGCGAGGAGAACAGAAGAGCGCGAGAATGGACACACACCCAGAATCTGACAGAATAAAACTCAGACAAAACACAGAGAGCAGTCAGTGATGTACATCAGTCTAATGACAGATCACTCACATCTGCAGAGAATGGGCTGATTTCTGCTACTGCTGTGCTTTTCATGATATTTTAAAGTAGTATTGTTGTATTTTTAATAATTTTACCGTTTTGTTCTTGGCTATGCTTTCTCACACTACCTAGTATTAGTAATGCTTTTAGTGCACTACAGCAGGACATCTGTTATTAGGAGCACTTGTGCTTTAAAATTTAAAAAATTATATCTTTATGATCAATAAATTAACCTTCCCATTACGAGGCAATATTTGACACAAAGTGATTCTCAATAGTTTTTTTTTTACCTTGGTAAAGGCATTTTTTCCTAACCTTATTAAATCTTATGTCAAATGCGTTAATATTTATAAACTTTTTCAAAATTATTAAAACAATCAGAATAAGTAACCAATCAAACTAAATCAGTATCAACAAAATTAATCTTTGCACTACAGAGGTGGCACAGAAGAACACAAAAGTGGCATTTAGGTATACTTACAGACTGTTTAATGAGGCTCAGAGGTGGCAAAAAAGAAAAAAAAAAAAAAAAAAGAACAACATAAAAGTGCTATTTAGGTATATTTACAGACTGTTTAACGAGGTTTAGAGGTGGCATGAATGCATTTAAATTCATAATGTTATGAGGTTAAAGTTTTAAATATGAAGTTGAATAAAGAAATATGTAATGATTCAAATAACTGAAATTATATTTTAAAAATGAAACCAAAACCGACAGAAGGTGGCGCAAGTCACTGTCTTTTTCACTGAATCATTCATTCAATCGATTTATTCAAACTGCTGATTCAGAAGTGCTTTTCTCACTGGATTCATTCATAAATGAAACAACACTGTGACTTCGGAACTATTTTCGTTAACGAAATAGATTTTAGGATCCCTGTTGTCTGATTTTACTCCAAGTCACTTAATATGGACTTCTTGTTTATTGAACTGCTGTCATAAAATCAGTATCCCATTTACAAACTAACTTTATAATCATTAAAAAGCTATCACTCATCTCGGTTCATCTCGATCTCACAAACTTCCCTTATAATCAATGAAGCTCTACACTGCAAGTTGAATCTATTATTTACTAGGGATGCGCCGATCCGATATTCATATCGGGTATCGGCTCCGATAGTGCCATTTTTCTCGGATCGGGTATCGGTCAGAGAGAGCCGATCCAAATCCGATATTTTTTTTTTTTCGATTGTGCGATTTATTCTGTGCTACTTCTGAAGCCATACGATAGCATAATGTGAGCTACATATGAATATTTAAGTCCTTACATTTTTTTCATATTTGTTTATTTTATTTTTCTTTATAATGAAGTAGTCTGTATCTAGTAGATTGTGACACAGACAGAGATATATAAATTCTACATTTATTTAAATGAGGGAAAAAAACTTCACTGGTATCGGATCGGAATCGGCCAATACCGAACCCTAGGTATCGGAATCGGAGGCAAAAAAGGCGGATCGGAGCATCCCTATTATTTACATTGCGTCTACACTTTGTTTGTTATAATGACAGGATTCATGAGTTTGCATTCAACACGGAACAAATCTCCGGAATTTTAAGCAGTGAGTGGATTCTGACTTAAACTCCTATAATTGGCTGCTGCGTTCAAGAAATCAACAGATATGGCTGTGATTGGCTACTTTGCTCAATGCTGCAAAAACACGCTGTAAACCGAAACCTGTGCTGCGCTCCAGATCTCAAACACTAATACACTCTGGTGCTAGGCTAGGGGTGTGCGATATTGACAAAAATTAATGTCTTGATATTTTCTAGGAGTTTATCGATAATGATAATTAGACAATTAGAGATAATTAGAGTCAAATTCTTACATTTAATCAGTAAATTAGAATAATAAGACATTTGGGCTGTTACTAGGGCTGCACGATTAATCGAATTTAAATCACAAAGGCGATAAATCGCGATTAGACAGAAGCTGTGATTGTCGTGCGTATCTTTCAGTGAAGCACGGTTCTGTGATCAGCAGTAAATCAACATCCGAAGGCCAGAGAAACTCCAAATACGCCCCGCAGAAGAAACCCAGGAAAACCCTATAGCGCTAGCTGAATAAACAGAAGATTTAACTGCTTTCATTGATTCAACGTGACTAATAAACACACGACTATGACAATATATAGTTCTTATTATAATTTTCATTACAATAAAGTATATAATAATGCAATGCTAATCGACAGAGCCTTTATCACTGCTTAGAATACTATGAAACATTGCGTGCCTTAATTATTCTGTTTAAGAAGCCACATCAACTGACAGAAGGATTTTAAAAACATGTTATTAAATTTCGTATTTTCACCAGCTTTCAGATGGCGCAGCATTTACTACACAGAGCTGTAGTTCACTGAGAAGCTACGCAAACAGCTGTCATTATTGTAAATGATTTCTTCGATTTCATTATCGCGCAATTATATTGTCTGCGATTATGAATGCGATATTACGTAGCTTGTCAGTGAACTACGGCTCTGTGTAGTAAATGCTGCTCCATCTGAAAGCAGGTGATGGAGATTTACTGCTGATCACAGAACCGCTTTACTGACAAGATGCACATGAATATCGCATTCGATTAATCGTACAGCCCTAGCTGTTACCAAGCAAATTAAATCAGTATCAACAAAATTCATCTTTGCACTGAAGAGGAAACACAGGAGCTACATCTGAAGTGGCATTTAGATGCATTTACACACGGTTTAGTGCAAGACATGAATGCATTTAACCTGCAATTACAATTACATAAATAATGTTTTGATATATTAAAGGGGTCATATGATGCGATTTCAAGTTTTCCTTTCTCTTTGGAGTGTTACAAGCTGATTGTGCATAGATAAGATCCCTGAAGTTGCAAAGACTAAAGTCTCAAATCCAAAGAGATATTCTTTATCAAAGTTAAGACTCTGCCACGCCCCCCTAAAACGGCTCGTTCTAACACGCCCCCACATATCTACCTCACTATGTGGAAATATTAGCATAATGCTGCCCAAATGTGCACGCAAAGAAAGAAGGCGTGGGAGAGAGAGAGAGAGAGAGAGATCACAGTGGAGTCAGCTGTCTTAACCGTGGCTTGTGTACTTCAAATACATACCAGCTTCATCACTGTGTCTATCACGCGACTCCGTTTCCCTTTCGGGCTCTGTCTTTACATTTATTTTGAAAGCTGAAGCAATTATGGTAAGGGGCGTTAAAT